TGACGTTTTGTGATTTAATTCATCTAGAAATGACCACTTTATCAGAAGAAGGAGTTTGCTTATCTAGCTTGTGATATGAGTTTTATGTAGTCAATGAGCAGGGAAGACCCTGCGTGTGGTAAAGGATTAGATTCAGAGTTTTTAAAGTACGCAGCTCTGATGGTAGATGTTTGGACAGACAATTTAGTTGAATTTTCTTGGATGCCTTGATCTTTAAAGGGGAGAAGGAGGTGAGATAGAAGAAAGTGAAGATCAGTTTTATTTTAATACTCAGACATGTGGAGCCCATTTAAAGGGGAAGGGGGTATCCTAAAATAGGCTCCTACAGGTATACAGATCACGGCAGCCTTCGGACAGCGGCCGTGGGGGGCTGTGCCTCATCTCTGGTTGCATTTTCTATCTGGCAGCTGTGTGGGCTCACGTGAGGGGTCCTTTAAGGACCAGATGCCACAGTGGACTTTAGAGAGGAAAGTTTCTGCTGTCCCAGCACCTTACCAGCCTGTCCTCCCTGTGGGTGAGGGAGGACGGGCACCATTCAAAAGGACTGACGTGCATGAGCTGGTGTGTACACATCTGACCTCATGGCTGGCCAGACTGAAGAGTTCCAGGCGTCCTCAGTTCCCCACCAGAGTGTACTTGGCTTGTCCCGTCTTCCTCTTCTCACCATTAGTGCCATGGGCCGTGGGGAGAAGGTGGGCTTTCCTGCCCATCCCCCCTGGAAGCCCGAGTTCCATCAGCAGCAATCACCAGGTCTCTGTGTCAGTCACCAGGTCTACATAGCAATCACCAAGTCTATAGCAATCACCAGGTCTACGTAGCAATCACCGAGTCTATAGCAATTACCAGGTCTAGTAGCAATTACCAGGTCTAGTAGAAACCACCAGGTCTAGTAGAAATCACCAGGTCTACTAGCAATCACCAGGTCTAGTAGAAATCACCAGGTCTACTAGCAATCACCAGGTCTAGTAGAAATCACCAGGTCTACTAGAAATCACCAGGTCTACTAGCAATCACCAGGTCTAGTAGAAATCACCAGGTCTAGTAGAAACCACCAGGTCTAGTAGAAATCACCAGGTCTACTAGCAATCACCAGGTCTACTTGAAATCACCAGGTCTACTAGCAATCACCAGGTCTACTTGCAATCACCAGGTCTAATAGCAGTCACCAGGTCTAGTAGCAATCACTAGGTCCACTAGCAAATACCAGGTCTAGTAGCAATCGCCAGGTCTAGTAGAAATCACCAGGTCTAGTAGCAATCACCAGGTCCACTAGCAATTACCAGGTCTAGTAACAATCACCAGGTCTAGTAGCAATTACCAGGTCTACTAGCAATCACCAGGTCTAGTAACAATCACCAGGTCTAGTAGCAATTACCAGGTCTAGTAGCAATCACCAGGTCTACTAGCAATCACCAGGTCTACGT